TTTGTCCAGACCCATTCAATGTACACCACCAACTGTGAACCCTAAACTACGGACTTTGGGTGATTATGATGGGTTAATGTACATCTGTCAGTTGTAACGAACGTATCACTCTGTTGGGGTATGCTGACAAATGGAGGAGGCTACGCATTTTATGAGTTCAGGGGTATATGGGAAATCTCTGTACCTTCCTCTGGGTTTTGCCATGAACCTAAAACTGCTCTAAAAAGTCTTTTAAATAAACAAATCTTTAAAAAAAGGTGAAAAAAATTAAAAACAAAAAATGTGAAAAGAAACAACAAATGATTTAAGGGCCTAATTAAACCAAAATTTAATTTAGTGGTTATGTCTACTTTTTTTAATAGAAGTAGTCGATATACAACGCTGTGTTAATTTCTGGTGGACAGCATAGTGATTCAGTTGTACATATATACGTTCCTTTTTATATTTTCGTTAAAGGCCATTACAAGGTATTGAACGTAGGTTCCCTGTGTTGTACAGCAGGATCTTGTTGTTTATCTATTTTATATACAGTAGTGTGTATCTACAAGCCCCAATTTATTCCTATATCCCCTCTTTCCCCACTGGTAACCATAAGTTTATTTTCTGTATCTGTGAATTTTTGTTTTGTAGATAAGTTCATTTGTGTCTTTTTTTTTTAAGATTCCACATGTAAGTGATATAATATGGTATTTTTCTTTCTAGTGGTTGCTTCTTGTTAAGGAGGAAGAGGATGTGATCAGGGAGGGCACATAGGGAACTTTTACTTATTTTTATTTTAACAGAGGTACTGGGGATTGAACCCAGGACTTCCTGCATGCTAAGTATGAGCTCTACCACTGAGCTCTACCCACTCCTCCAGCACTTTTAAATTAATGGAATATTCTATTTTTTTTTTGAGGAGGGGATTGCTATTTATTGGTAAATATGTATTTCTTAAGTTAATTTGGGTATTCCATTATTCTTTAAAGGTATACTTACTTTTATACTTTTATGTAACTTATGGGGGAGTTTTTTAAACACACAAACACAATATGGATTTCAATATGCTCCAGACTCTCTCTGGGACTTGATTTTTTAAACATATTATTTCCAATATTGATTTGTTACTAATATTCTTGTTAAGGATGAGGCATATTAGTTAACCCCAAGGCAGAAAACAGGAGAAATGACAGGCCATATTTTTCTAAAATCCAGGTCGTATCTCTTATTAAAATTTGCCAAGTGGGCCAAAGACACCGGTCTTCCCTGCAGGAGGCAAGTATGGGATCTCGGCCTCCAAAAAGTCCACTCTGCCCCTCCCAGCTGAGCCTGGTCCCTCACTTTCGGCTGGCCGATACAGTCGACCTCAAAATCCAGCTTTTCTTCTGTACTCTTACCATTCATTTTGGTCACCAGTCTTGGCTTTCAGACTTCATTCAACCCACTTTTCAGCCTGTTCATAAGTCGCCCTTGCCTGTGGACAACTGGCAGTCCTGGGCAGAGGCTTGGCAGGGAAAGATTGATTAAGTCAACAAAAATCCCTTATGAAGGAATCGAAATGGAGCTGACAGTGGTGTTCCCCAAATTCAGCTATCCCAAAGCCAGGGGCAGACTGAGGTGGTAACTGAGAGATCCCCATCTGGGACAGTATCTCCCAAGGTCAACGTTGAGGAGATCAGAATCCCCTGAGGCTCTTATTAACAATGCGTATTACTGAGCCCACCTAGGCCTGCAGAATAAGCACGTCTGAGAATGGGGTCCAGGAGTCTGAATCTCTGACAAGCATCTGATGACTGTTCTGATGTTCTTTGACTTCCCTGTGAAATTGGCATCACTGAAACTCGACATATTAAATCGGGGCTGATCTAATCATGGACAAAAACCCTGGATGGTGAGTTTATAGGTTTTTCTTTTGTCAAAGACAACCCACCACCAGCCAGAATGATGAGCAGCAACCAAGCCATGTTCAGAAAAGAAAAGAAAAGAAAAAGCACAGAGTGAAACTTTTCTCATTTAGCATTAAATATCGAACTTTACTCACACTGTGAAGGGGATCTAGCTTTGGGAAAAACACAGAAAATGGCCTCTGTAATATAAATTACTGCTCTCTGCTCCCCCATTCTCACTGGTCTGGCCGGATTTATTCCAGGGGGTAGAAGTGGGTTGGTGATATTAAAAATGTCTGACAAGTGTGCAAGGGCACAGCTGCTCTGGCTTTACCAGGGCGGATCAGTTGGGTTGGCCCTGCCTTTCTTCTATAGTAAACAGTTCTACTCCAAATTGAGCCAGAATAGTGTGTCTCCAGTTATTTTATTTTGGGGAAACACAATAGATTAGAGCCTTAATGTACTTTTGTTGCATTTGTTTTTTGTAAAAAAAAGAACTGATTTAAGGATTAAAACCTCTAACTCTCTGAACTGTTTGAAATGTTACTATTGCTTCAAATTTATAAAGAGCTTTCACACCCCAATATCCCAGTCATTGCAAGAACTTGTTCTGTTAAAGACTGAGTGAACTGGTATCTGGGGATTTTGTATGTGAGAAAAGGCATATTCCTGGCATCCAGCCTTAGTAAAGGTGCAAATAAGATACAAAACCTCTGTGCGCCTTGTGAAAACTAGAAACTGAACTGGAAAACTTTCAGACCAGTTAAAAACATAAAATATAGCCACCACACAGCCTAACTGTACAGTGGTAGTTTCAGTTTCTGTATCAAAGGCAATTTTTTTGCATTTTGAGATTCACCCACAGCTACAGCCAAATTGGACAGATGTTTTTAACTCCAAATGCAATGCAGAATTACCTATCATTTCTTTGCTATGCAGATTGAATATTTTGCATGAGCATTCAAAAACGAATGTTTATAGTTTGAACTTCTGTTTATTGTTTCCTACTACCAAATGTACTGTCTACAGATGGAAAACTCAAGAGTCTTTGATGATGTGTGGTGAGGAATTGCTCAAAAAGATTCAGTTACACACAGGGAGACATGGTACACATAATGTTGGGACGGGCTAGATTACAGTTATCAAAGTATGTACAGGAGCAATCTTCATCTACAAGTGTTTTAGGGATTCCAAATGATCCTACTCAACAGCTGGGCCCATTTGCAAAACTTGGTCAGTGGAAAGCTTCTCTCCCCCTTGCGGTTTCCCACCCCCTCACTACTTCCTTGAGAGAGCAGACTGGCACGCTGCCTTATCGCTACTGCTCCTTATGACCCTCCAATGACAGCAGTGGAAGCGGGCAAGACGACCAGGCAATGCGGCAGTCCATCTCTATGAGTTAACCTTTAAAGACAACCAAGAGACTTTGAGAAGTGGGTATGAGGCTTTATGACTACAGGGGACTGCAGTGGAGTATTTATTTTGAAAGTCAATGACTTCCTTGCAGCTTAAGGGTGCTAATCAATACTGATGTTATTTTGAACAATTACAAAGATAACATGTTCTTATTAGGAAAAGGGAAAAAAAGTATGCAGAATATACTTCCTACAGGGGTAACCAACCTTTTTGGAGTTGCATGATTTTACCGTCACTTGCAACTTATTATCGAAAAGTGGTGTATTAAATTTTTTCAATCCTGAAGACTTTTGACTTTTTATCGAGAATTTTGTGGTAACCCTCAACTGCACATATGCTTTAAATATCAAGTAGGTTTAAAGCAACCTTTTAAAGACATTTTGTCTAGTTTGGGGGCCTCGAAATGTTACACACTGTCCTTTAGCTTAGTTAGGGCTAACCAAATGATATGGATAATGGTTAGTATGAATTTATGTCTACATATACACAAATTTAAGGATTACTAATCTTCAGCAAATTATACTTTAACCATCAACATTTAAGCTCTGATGATTCAGAAGATACTCTTTTATCTTTCAGAACTGGTATCAAAACACATTTTCTGGTAATGAGTCAGTTACAGAATATGACACTGGCGTGTCCCAAGGGGAGACTTCTCTCCTATGGCCTCAGCTTATAGAACTGGGAGTACTGGAGCTAGAACTGGAAGAGGTGGTTGAGTCATGATCTTCTGAATGCAACCCCACACGAAGTAAATGAAATATGTAAAATTTACCTCTATAATCACAACTGCAATGCCCTAAAATAAAAGCGTCACAGGCCTATTAGGCCTAAAGTGTGCAAAGTGTTTATAGAGTCCCAATTGTTTATAGAGGGCCCTTGGACATCAAACTGCAGTCATGACTCTCTGGCATTCTTCGTAGGCACTGCTCTGTTAATAATGCACTGAACCCACTGTTAACCATTTTCAACGTAAGAGGGATTATTTTCTCATGAAAATCTCTTAATTTCATAAAAAAATAAAAACACAATGTGACAAAAATTGCTTTTATAAATTAACTTTGCCAGATTCAGAAACTGAATATTTACACCTCTGAATGTCAAGGACCTTAAACCTTGTCAAATACTACCCACCCAAATTTCCACTATTCATTTAGATACTATGATATGAAAAAGTCAAAACACTTTTGAAAAAGTTTCTTTATTTCTATTTATTCATTTATGCAAATACAGTATCAGCATAGGCAATATGAACATACTTTTAAGCTTAAAATTAATTTTCCATTTTGAAAGGTTCAAGATTTTGCCTCTTCTTTCTACATTACTCTTTTAAATACTTCAGTCCAACAAAACAGCAGACAAAAAAAAGTTTATTCCCTTACTTTTCTTAAGGTCATACTGGGATAATCAGAACTGGCTCTTTAGAATTTGGTATCATTTATAGTAACCTGGAGATTTAATCACAGAATAATACATGAAAGAATGTTACAGCATACACATACAAAGTAGAATTTTAAAAAGGACAAATTTCAGGGCCACTTTCAAATTCTGAGGCATTAGAAAGCCCTCTTGGGGATTCTTAAGTTAAAAGACTCTTCCCTTCAGATTCAGAATGAATATTATTAGGAATTATAAGAAAATGGGCACTGATGATATGGCCATGGAAGCTTCACTAGGATAGGGATAAATGGAGTCTCCATGTCTTAGTGAAGGGGTTGGTCAATGAAAGAAAACCCAGGAAGCCATGAAACTCATGTCCATGGCAGGTCAAAAGATGCTGATACAAGCGTTTCCCTTAGAAAGGTTTTATCCCACTGCTTCCTTTCCAAGGCTTAACCCTCCAACTGCTTATACTGCTACTTCTCTTCTTTGCATCGCCTGTTCTAGGAGCAAACCTCCTGGAAGAATGGTGGTACAGACGGGAACAGAAAGACTGGTTTGGCAAAGGGGCTCTGGGGTTCTAGCTGTTCATCACGATACACAACATCTAAGAGGAGCCTAGCTAATCGCTAATCTAGAAATAGACTGTTAATGCTAACTCTAGTATAGTTTTGGGATATGCTTACTGAAAAACTTTTGTGGTTTAGAAACGCCAAAACTACTTTGACTCTCCTGGACATATTTCACTTTAAAAAAGGAAATATAATAGGCTAAAAAGTAAAAATCTGTCCTTTAACATATAACAAATATTTTAATGTTTTTATAAAAACAATTCCTTTCAGATACTCTGATTAACCTTTAAGTGACATAAAAAAAGTTTGTCTTTAATACCAGTATTTTGCACAATTTAAGATACAGCCATTGAGTTTTTAGCATTTCAAGGGAAAAAAATGAAAAAGAAAAAAAGGAGAATGGTAACTGACTGAAAAGCTTACGTACCTAGTAAAGTTTAGTTTGTTTTTGGCTCCTTTAAAAAAAAGTTAGGCCTGGAATTTTAGTTATCCTAATTACCATCCCAATCAGATAACTCTATGTGTGGATTCTAGATAAAATATAAAGTATTTTGAACTAATACATGTAAGACCCACTGATTGGACTGTTTGTTTAGAATCTGTTTTACTGAGTTTAGATAAAGAAAACTTCAACAAAGCTAACTATATACTAAGTTCCACTGATTAAATATGCAGTTTTAAACTCTGCTTTTGTGGTAAATTTCTGGATAAATCATAAGTGTAAAGCACAATATTGTAGATGTTGTACTGTCACAGCTATTTGTTGGAAAAGTGAAATGCTTGTATTCAAACTATCAAAATTCTGACCTTTCGAAGTAGGTTTTCTAAAACAATTTTTTTTGAAAAGTCAGCATCTGCTTTTAAACCCTTAAAATGTCAATTAAAAAGTCCTTACAGATAAATCTTAAAGCAATTCCTTCCAGTCTCAATTATTTTTTTACTTTTAACTATATATTCAACACAGAACCAGTTTCTAAATAAACATCTAATGAAAGTTTCACTGTAAAATAAAACTAGGCAATCTAATAAAACTTGTAAAGAAAGTGAGTGTGACTTATCAAAATTCAGAATTAAATTTCTATAATAGTGGAAAAACTTTCAGTCTCTTAATATTCAAAACCTGCAACTTCCCATGAGATCAGAAAGTTAGCAGAGAGGATCAAACAGACTTAAGCACTGCCCGACTTCTTCTAAAATGATGAACTCTTTTGTCCTAGAAAAGACAGAAATAGTCCTCTTTACTTCACTGAAAATTCCTATTATCACTAAGACCTAAGAGAGTTGCAAAATACTTAAAGCACTTATTTTGGGTTTAAAAAACTGTAATGAGAGAAAAGTGATCCTTTGGGGAAGCATTCTTGAACTCTGGGATAACAAATGTGTCAATGACTAATTTTATTCAATAATTTAGTTAAAAAAGAAATCTCTGTAACTCAGAAAAATTAGACTTAGATTCAATACCCTTTTATATAAATTCTTAATTAATGATTTGGCAGAGATGTCCCAAAGACAGCTGGTGAAAAACATGAAATTCTTAAAAGTCCTATTTTCTACTAATCAAAGTACATCTGATAGAAATTATGGCTTGAGAACAGCACTAAACTTCAATCTGAAATCCTATGCTTTTAGGTTAGAAGATAAAAGTTTTGGCATATTTAAAGGCATATCCTTAACCTGTAATGAAGATATATCATTTTTTAGGAAATCAAATCTTATTTTTTACAAAAATAAAAAACATACACAAAATTTTCCTTCCACTTTATGTTGCCTGTAGATGTTCAGATAGAAGTGAGGCCTTACAAACAAGAATGGAGCTGAGTAAACCAGTAATAACACAATAGTATTTTCTTCCCCACATGTTTAGCTGAACTGTGCCTCTTTCCTAGGGATTAAATTCAGCTGTCATTTAAGAAGGGTGACTTCCGGAAATTACATAATCTATCAACAGGGCAATATCCTATTTAGGCAAAAACCCAGAAAAGTGGTCACAAAGTCAAGTATCTTCAGAGGTAGGACATGAAAGCTTGTGAAGGAGTTGGAACTGAGTGGAATTTACCATGGAAACAGTGTTTACCCTGCCTCAGTGCATTCAAATTCAACTAATACAGTAACAACATTTAGTGAATCGTAGTAGGTCTAGATGCTAGATAACTGCAGACCACCAATTTCTGACTCCTAGCCCAGAGGAGCAGAAAACTTTGAAAGATTCAAAGGGAGACTTCTAACACTAGGTGAAAACTCAAGTTTAAAGATGATTTTTTGCTTCACAAACAAATCTTTTAAATACTACCTATTTAACCTTCAGAACTTTGGGCAAGGGAAGCTGTCATACAACCCCCAGTTCTTTCTTTTAAATTGTACTGTCTATATAGGTAGGAAAACAGAGGAACAAATGTCAACTTTAAATGAGTATGCTTACTTCCTGTTGAGAAGGTGGTAAAGAACTTAATTCTGCTCCAGCTCTAGTCTTCTGCACTAAAGGAAGTCCTTAGTATTCCTTTTAAAACCACTTTCAGCTTTGTCCTATGTTTATTCATGGATGGAAAAGAGCTATTCTCCTTTCCTCGTTTTAAGATACAAAGCAATGGTTTAAAAATTCCCTTTGAATGTAAAATGGTACATTTTGGAAAAACTCTGGCAGGTCCTTGGAAGGTTAAACATAGTTACTATGTCACTCAGCAATTACATTCTTAGTTACATACTCAAAAGAAATAAAAACGTGTCTACACAGTAACTTGTACATATAGTCATAGCATTACTAACTCATCAGAGCCCAAAAGTAGAAACAACCCAAATGTCTATCAGATGAGTGATGAATGGATAAACACAAAGTGCTAGATTCATAAATGAAAAGAAATGAAGTACTGATACATGTTGTAACACTGATGAAACTTGAGAACATTCTGCTAAGTGAAAGAAACTGTAACAAAAAGCCACATTTTGTATTATTCTATTTATATGAACTGTCCAGAACAGGCAAATCCTTTAAGTCAGTGAGTGCTTGCCCAAGGCTAGGGTAGTTGGCAGTGGAATAGAGAGTGACTGCTAATGGGTAGGGGGTTTATTTCTGGGGTGATTAAAATATTCTAAAATTGATTGTGGTTGTAGATGAACAACTCTGAACATTCTAAAAAGTACTGAACTGCACACTTTAAAAGGGTGAATTATATTTTATTCTCAGATTATATACCAAAAAACCTATTATTAAAAAAAAAGAAAGGAAAAAACTTGCCTTTACTGAGCACAATAGTATTCCCCGACTGGAGTGACCAGTTCCTTTCCTATCATGGACTCATAACTAAAGGGATCTTAGAGAATCCTCATTTTAGACTTGTAAAAACTGAAGCCTTAATATGATTCAAGTGATTTGTCAAGGTGATAGAACCAAGATTAGAAACCAGAACTTTCTTAAATTCAAACACCCACATTCTTTTCCATTTTAGCAACTCTAAATCAACTTCCATTTCTTTTCACTCAGTTCTTTTTCTTACTTTACCTCTTCTACTCCTACATTCTTCAGGTACATCATCTGAGTGATCAGTTTCTTTTCTTCTCTTTAGTCCAATATCCTTGTACTCTTAAGTTCTGCTTTCTGTACCTAAAATTTTCTTTTTTTTATTTGATGAAGCCAATACTCTCTTTCAACCCTTCTGAGAACTCTCTCAATTACAGGCTTCTGCTAAAGTTTCTTTAAGGGCAAACCACACTAAATCAAGATCAGAGCAGCTAGAATACACTGCCATGTAAAACTCACTCACGGTGGTTTACTGGGTTATAGTTAAATGCCAAGCTTCAATCATATACTCTATGTAATTTCAAAAATAAAAAAAATATATATATATATACTACAGAAAAAAAGATGTTTCTTGCTGACAAGCGTGCTTTTTATCCTGCATACTATTCCTTTCATACCTTGAAGTAGTCATCTTGAGTAACAAGGGAGTTTCTCAGTCTGTTCTCTGGATTAAATAGGCAAGATACCACCGTCTGTATGCTTCGGTCGACAGATTTCTGAAACACAGAAATTTTCAGTAAAAACTATTCCGACTTTTATTCACTGTTAATAAGCTTTCTGAAAAAGTTTAATGATTTTATATATATATATATATATATGTATATATACACACACACACACATATATATTTCTAAAGAATTCTCATGTAATTTATCATTCTTACCACATGTCACTTAGTATGTAACTTTTCTACCAAACTTAAGAATTATTTTAGGACCTTAGTGATAAGAGTACTGGTTAAAAACGCTCCATTAGTAAAATCCTAATAAGATATTTGCCTAAGGCTCTTTTAATTTTTCCTGTTAGATAAGAAACAGTGAAGATCAACATTTCAAGAAATATTTTATTCAGGTTAAAATCTGATAATATAATTATACCCTAAGCTATTTTGATATTTTTTAAAATTTTAAGTTGTGCAACAAATCAAAGAACTTTTTCACCCCAGTTTAGTAGTTCTCATTTTTTCCCACTGAGAAACACAGGAAGTACGCATACTCCGATGAGAATCCTTCAATATTATGTATATTCCAACCACATCAATTACTTCCATATTCCCACCCATTCAAGAAAACACATGAGAATTTAAGAGTGAGAGCACTGTAATTACAGGGATCTGCTCTAATGATAAAAAAGAAACAACTCTGCTTATTATTAGTAACTATTACTAGTAATACTTATTATAAATAATTATTAATCCTTATAAAGTACAAAAATATAATTTATAAATTATTATACACACTGATTAATTAGTAGTGACTCTACCACTCCTGAGAACTGCTACCATATATAATCTTATAGAGAGACTATTATAAATAATTGTGAAAACTATTTAGCTAAGTAAATGTTAAAACTGATAAAAGATAAGGTAGATACAATTCATACTAATTGCTCTTTTGAAGAGTAGGACTCTTGAGGAAACCTACCCATTGCATTCTGCAAATCATATTAATAAAATACATATTAAAGTATGGTTATAAAAATACAAACAATGAAAAAGGAAGAGAGAAAAGGACTAGTGAATCAGCAACTACATATACACGCTGAAAGTTTGGGGGTGCCTAAAATTTCATTAACTTTTACATAAATTGCAAAATTAGTAGTGACTCAAGCCCTATAATTTGTTTAAATTTGAGCAAAGATGCTTGCTTCTCAAAGGGCCATTATTAAAATCTGAAAAATATTAAAATATAAACAAACAAAAATTAGATGTTTGCCTTTTGTGGGCCATTTCCAGAGGATGTAGTAGCTTCATGAACTGAGCATTCACTTGACAAAACTTCAGCTCCTGGATCAACATCATTACAGTGGTAGTTAACAGTTGTGTAAGCCTACATTTAAAATGATAAAAATGTAATTAAAGAGATGTACATTAGATACATTTCTGAACAATCTATTCTTCAAAATGGTGAGCTGATACTGAAAGTTTAAATGTGGGTTGTGCTAAAGGTTCAAATACATTATTTTAGAAACTTTATTTTAAACTGAATAATTGAAATGCAATAAAGGTAATCTTTTATTTTGATGTCAACATAATCAGAATTAGGAGAATTTCTCTAAGAAAAAAGGAACTCCAACATGTAGTAAGGAAATGGGAAGGGAATTTTCCAGTGCCTAAGAATTTTAACTCATAGCTTACAAATACCCAATCCTGATGAAAGGCAGAAGGTATCAAAAGCTCAGGTGTTTTAGAGATAGCACTCTCTTTTGTTTTATTTCTTTTCTTATACAACACATAACAACACTCACAGCAAAACATGTTTGTTTCTCTTCAAAAGATTTTTTTACGAGTAGAAAACTAGAGGTAGATTCAATACTAATTCTAAATCCCTGGAATTAGAATTAGCAAAGGTATTTATACTATTATTCTTAGTTACATAGTTTATCAACAAGTTATTGAGCAACTGTTGTATGCAGAGCAGCCATTGCTAAGTTCACAAAAAACCCTTGAGAAACAAAAAGCACAAGTTCTCCCATGGGAGTATATCCTTGGGTTGACAAGAAATAAAACCTAACACATAATGTAAACAGGCATTTAAAATATTTCTAGAATACCTGATATGTCAAAGGGTCAAGAAATGCATGAATTAAACAGTAAAATACTTTAAAGAATAGGAAGCACGTGTCTGGCTAATTCACCACCTTACCGGAGGTATAACGTAACTCCTCTGTTCTCCAGCAGGCCACTGCGGTGGCATCTTGAAAAGGAAATAACAATTACTTAAATATTCCTTCACATTTTCACAAAGATAAGAGATAGACAATGTTGAGTTATCTGTCATGCTGGCTCCTTGAATGTGTTATAATAACAAGAAACAAAATGAAAGAAAGAGGTATTTCATGTTTCTAATATCTGAGGATCTTACTTTTATTTTTGTATATAAACTCCATCTTTTTCTCAATTTTCTGGAGTTGACTTTCAGGAAAACTCAGATAGTAGGCCCTTGAGTTTATTACCATAGATATGGTCAAGGTCATATCTATGGGCAGAAATTCACAGTCAGCTAAAATAAACACTATCAAACATAACTGGAATTCAATGCACTAAGAATTAATCATTTTATTTCAACCTTTCCCCCTAGAAAAACTTACAAAAGTAAGCCTGGATGTTCCAGCTACTAGACAGTAAAGATGGAAGAATACATGTTAGAATACAGAGAGGACACCAAATCATGCAACAGAGTATAAGAGAAAACTTCTTGCTTATTTAGCTCATTCCTGTAAAAATGTTATTCCTTTATTCCTCAATAATAGAGAAGCCCCAATTCTAGACTAATTCTAAGTTTTTTTCTTAAATTTTAGGCACACTCTAAATGACAATTAGGGAAATTTATATAAATAAAGGCCTCAATAATATTCCAAAGTAAATCATTTTGATCCCTCTTAAATTACCTGATAATTATAAACAGGCAGCTGATATCCGGTGATAACCTGAACTGGTGAACTTGGATAAGGAGGATAAGCCTGAAAATAAAGTTTACAGAAAGAATGAAATAACAAGGTGCATTTTTAAAAGTTTGAAAGGACTATTATTCCCAATATAACAAAAATAAGAAAATAAGGGAATCTTAATTTTTTATAGATAATGCAGGATTCTATTTGAGTGACTGGCTTCATGAAGAAGTAAGTATTCTCTGTCAAATGGTAGTCTTTTTGTTTGAGAAGAGGTAGAGATAAATAAGGGAAAAGTGATTTTGCTTTCCTAGGTTTATCTTATTTGTGCATTTATTCCCACCTAGAAGTTCTTTCTTAAATGGTGATCAGGATCTATTAGAATAGATTTCCAAGTTAAAGTTATATTAATACATGTTTGCTATTTTTTTTTGCAAAAATATTTTTAGGCAGCTTTGTATTCCTTTGACAGCACTGTGAGGTAATGTGGAGTCCTTCTACAGACTTTAAGACTCTTTCTGTATTTCACTTCTAAAAGTTAAGGGAAGTATGTAACCCCAAACTGGAAGAGACAGTACAATGTCTTATATTTTTCAATAGATACTTATTGATTGAAAATATATAGGTAGTAGCATACACAAATAAACCAGAAGCAGTAATAATATCTCACGGTAAACATTAGGAACAAGTAGGGCTTTTCTTCTAGTCATGTTTCAAGTAGGAATAATAAAAGATATACCCTACACTCCAGGTAGATGGAAAATATAAACAAATGAGAGACATTGCAGAACTATTTTACTATTATTTTGTCTCTTTCTAAACATAAAATGTCTTTTAAGCTGAAGAAAGTAAACTGAACTAAGAAAATAAATGTTATTTATCATCAATAGTAGGTAAGTATTCCAAATCCCACTTCAAATACTAAGGGAACCAAGACAAGATAAATTACATGCCAGAAATCCATGGGGTTTATAAATATAGTTAAGTCATCAGAAATTTATCCATTCCAGAAGCAGACTGTATCCAGAAGTCAATTATCTATATGAGAAGGTATCTGGAAATCACTGCAAACAAAGAATAGCTGACCCTACAGAAGAACCAGATTATCACAGGAGGAAAGCTGCCTTCAAATATTTTAGGAGTTATCACACGGGAAAAAAAGGGGGAAGAGACATATTCCACCTGGCTACAGAGGTCAGTTCTAAGACGAAGGCTTACAATCATAAGGAAGCAGATTTTAGCTTAGTATAAGAAATAACACTGAGAATGACAGGTTTCTAACAGAAGTAACAGATTTCCTGTCCCTCAAAAGTACTCAAACAAGGATAATATTGTCACTTATTATGGAAATTGTAGACATAATTCCACAGACAGTAAGAAGTGAGACTGACTTAACTTTTAAGGTGCCCCCATCTATAAGAGTTCCAGTACTATAATAAATGAAAACAAGGAATTTTATAATTCTTACCTGAACATACTGAGTTATTGGATTCATCACGGTTGGAGGCTGCATGTAAGTTTCAGTGTTTGGATTACTCCAGACACTCTGAAACTGCGGTGGAGGAGGAGGATTAAAAACCAAAGGACGTGGCTGCACATGATAAGTACCTTTTTAAATACAAAGAAAATAAAGCCTATATTTTTTAGTTCTCTGAGAGGCCACACATACGTCAACAAAAACAATTCCTTTCTTTACTCACATAAATTTTGTTTCCTGATCGCAGGGCCCAGTTTCAGCTTTTTACCATGGAAATTTATCTGTGACTGAAAATAAAAACAGAAACAAAACCAGAATCAATGTCCAAGTCTTAACTTCCATAGCTTTGGTAAACACCCAGGTCCTCTAAAATTTCTACTGTTAGAGAAGATCAGTGGTAAGAACATACTAAATCAGAATTTAGCTAAAGCAGCTTCAGTTTGAAGCTACTTTACCCTCACTATGCTAAGCAAATGTTGAGAGGTGTTGTGGAATTTGATCACTTTTTATACTTTATCTCTAATCTTTCCTGTCTCTAGTTCATGAAGCTGAATGCACAATCAAAAATTAACAGGTTCTGGTGGGAATGTAAACTGGTGCAGCCACTATGGAGGACAGTATTGAGACTCCTTAAAAAACTAGAAATAAGACACCATATGATCTAGCAATCCCACTCCTAGGCATATACCCAGAGAAACATATAATTAAAAGGGACACATGCACCCTAAGATTCATGGCAGCACTATTTACAACAGCCAAGACATGGAAACAACCCAAATGTCCACCAACAGATGACTGGATAAAGATGATGTAGCATATACAGACAATGAAATACTACTCAACCATGAAAAGAATAAAATAATGGTATTTGCAGCAACATGGATGGACCTGGAGATCACCATTCTAAGTGAAGTCAAGTCAGAAAGAGAAAGAAAAATGACGTATGTTATTGCTTATATGTAGAATCCCCCCCCCCAAAAAAAACACAAATGAACTTATCTACAAAACAAACAGACTCACAGCCACAGACAACAAACTTGTGGTTACCAGGGGGTAAAGGAGGTAAGAACGGATAAATTGGGAATTTGAAAATTGCACCTCCTGGGGAGCAATGGAAATGTTAGCTATCTTGATTGTGGTAGTGGTTTCACTGGTGCACACATCTATTGAAATTCATCAAATTGTACATTTGAAATATGCATAACTTACTGTACAGGAACCATATGACAAGAAAGGTGTTTTAAAAAAATAAACAGGTTCTGATAAGTTATGTAAGATTACTCTAAGTTCGGACGTCAAACAGGAAGTATATTTATTTCTGTTATCTTATACAAGACTGACTATATATTCAGGACTCAAACAATACTAAATACTGCATCTAGTTAAAGAGATTTTTTTCCATAAGAAAAGTACTTACTTCTACTATCTTCTGCACATCCACGTCATTATAAAATGAAACAAATCCATAGCTATAAAGGCAGATAAATGAAATATAAAATCACCACCATAACAGTACATGGTTTAAAACTTCTGGTATTCTATGAAATAACTGACAGAAGCTAAGCATGATAAAGGATGAAGAATATACTGAGGTAAATGCTTGTAAGAGGTACATGACAGAATACTACTGCTTTTTGTTTTCTTACCCTGATCTACATCAGAATGCACTAAGATTAAGACAGTGTGAGGAAAAAAAGGTAGTGTGGGAAACTTATTCATTAACAGAAAATTCCTATGTACGTAAATTCAACTTAATATCTATGGCAAGATTGTTAAAATTTCAGAAACTGTGAAATGTGTGAAGAAAGTAATTCTTTGATAAAAATGATTAATCCACTTATGTGAAATAAATGAAGATGGAAAACATTTAAATACAAACAGGCAAATGATTAAATAAAAGAGCAGCAGCAAACTTATCCTCTACATGAAAGAAATTACAAAACAGCCAATTTCATTTATATAAATTTAAGAATTTATATAAGTTTCGAATTCTTCTTTTCTGAAACTCTACAAATGCTATATAGTTCAGACATTTACAACACTTTATATTAAACATACGTTTTACTCACCCTTTGGACACACCAGTTCGATCCGTGATTATCTTCACTTCTTTTACTGAACCATATCTAGCAAAGAAACTTCTAATTTCGGTTTCATCCATCTATGGAGAAGAATTTGACTTTAAGAGTAAAAATTCAACATTCAAAATTTTCAATTATACTGTAAAGATTTGATGATGTTGGAACTGTCTCTCCCAAGTATCCCCAAACTACCTGTAGTTCTTTGTCAACGATATTTTTAGTCCCTATAGGTTAAACATAAAATTAATTCCAAACTTGCATAAAGTATCCAAAAAAGGCCTTACGGTTACAACAGGGCCCAAATCCCACTATTCACAAAATACTTTTAAAAATAAATGAAATAAGAATACAATACCCTAACATCAATTCCACCAACAAAAATGGTGTTTGGCATGATTCTGCCTTCTGGTAAAACATAGCCTTGGCTGGTCACAGCTGATGAAGACTGGGTGCTGGCCTCTCTAGAGACAGTTGAGGTTGTAGTCTCAGGATTTGCAGCAGACTGTAATTTGCAAAGCAGATATCATCACTAGATAACAGGTTAACATCACAGATGACATGAAATATGTTTTGAAAGTACAAAATATTTTCATATAAATTACTGTCATAAATTAGTCATCAATAACACCTGAGTTCAGGCTCAGGATCTAGAGTAATCAGAGCAGATCAACATGAAATTTTAACAAAAGGTTTCAGTACTTCCTCAACCCAACGTTGCTCAGCACCATCTCTTGTACAAAGCTGGGGTAGAACACCGATATCAAGTTTGTGAAAATACTATGTGAACTGGCAAAAAACAATTTAGATTTGTGAAAGTTTAGATTTGTAAAAAGTAAAGTTACTAAAGTCATTCTGTTCTGTGGGAATAAGCAAATTTTCATTTTTCTGAGTACCTTATTCAAAAGCATGTTAAAGATAAACAGTTTAAAAAAAAGCTGCATCAAAAAGAAAACAAATGAAGTTTTAAACTAATTTGTTTTGCCTCATCTTTTTTTAAACTCTATTTAATTGACATAGTTGGTTTACAATGTTGTGTTAATTTCTGGTGTACAGCATAGTGATTCAGTTATATACATATATATTCCTTTTCATACTTTTTCATTATACTTTATTACAAGATATTTAATATAGTTTCCTGTGCTATACAGCAGGATCTTGTTGTTTATTTTATATATAGTAGTATCTCAAACTCCCAATTTATTCCTCCATCCCACTCTTTCCCCCCGGTAACTATAAGTTTGTTTTCTATGCCTATGAGTCTGTTTCTATTTTGTAAATAAGTTCCTATGTGTCATTTTTTACGATTCCACACGTAAGTGATATCATATGGTATTTTTCTTTCTTTTTCTGGCTTAAAAGGATAAAGTAATGCTATTTGGAGCAACTTAGGATGACAATCTCTGGGTCCATCCAAGTTGCTGCCAATAGCATTACTTTATCCTTTTTAATGCCTGAGTAGTACCCCTCTTTATCCAATCATTTGTTGATTGGCATTCAGGTTGCTTCCATGTCTGGGTAGGGTTTTTTTTTTGCTTCCGTGTCTTGGCTATTATAAATAGTTGCTTCAACTTTCTATTACCAAAATTAACATGGATTTTGTAATTTTAACACTCTGTTAGTATGCCTGCTTTACCTTCGAAATGGATTATGACATTATTTGTTAGCATATCACAGAACTTGCTTTAAAAAAAAAAGTTGGGGGGCTTATAATACTTTTCCCTAACCTTAGAGTTTTCAAAGCATCTTTAAAATAACAGTTTCATTCTTCAATAGTATCAATAAGTTCTATTGATATTCTAATTTTCACAGTGGGCTGACAGATATGGAGGCCCACACATGAATTCTGGTCAAAACTCTGTCCTTAGGCTTCCTGCACTAAGATTAATTGTAGATTTTTCTGAAGCAGAATTTACTGGTAATATGTATGTTGGAAAGGCTGTACAGCATACTGAAACAAAAACTGATTTAGTCATCTAGGTTCATGTCCCTCAGAAAAACTGCTTTGAGAATGAAGTAAGGAAACACCTATGAATTCTTTTGTAAAGTATAAAGTGGTATGCTAATACCAGTTAGCAGCCTGTTATGTGAATTTATTTTCAATAGGTTAAAAAAAGGTTTCTTTCTTGGTTTTACAATTTATGTACTTATTTGGTGGATACTTTACTAATTAACAACTAATTTGAGATGGAACTTGAAGAAACTATTTTACACACCTCTGCTTATCTGAAATCCCTTTATAAGTAGTGAGCACAAAGGATGCAAGAGAGAGATAAAACTATTACATATCAGCTTATGAAGGAAACCAAAAACAAGGACAAAAGAAACCAGTAATTATTCTTAAAAAGATAAGCAAAATAATTTATAGAAATTACTAACAATAATGAAAAGTATGTAGAGTTCCTATTTTGTTAGAGGCTAGAAATCACTGGTAAATTTAAGACTACAAACTGCTATACTAATTGGAGATAATAACAAAATTACCACAGATAATTACCAAATTTGAGTGTTTTGGCTTTTCTCTGTTAACTTGTAGTCATACTTGTTGTTTTGTGTTCCTGTCTGCACACTTCCTAATTTTTTCCTTTAACTATGGTACAGTGATATTTCGTGACAATGAAGTGGAAGAGAGTAAAACTATTTCTAAAGCTTTCCTATATTCCAGTGTTTTTATAATTTTAATTTTTTAAACATGGGGATTACATTACATGAGTCACATACCTCGAACTATCGAGAATTTGACATTAGATTTCCCTTCACGACAGACAATTTACCAACCAATCCCTTTTAATTAGCTCAGTCAAAAAATCCAAAGCACAAGTAAAACAAAATAGCAGTTCTGAAATTACTGTAGACTTTCTTTTCTCCTTCTCAATTTCCCCTTCATTTGTGGATGAACTTTGAATACCACTTTATCTGATAAATTATTTGTAGAATTATGTCTGTGAACCATAACAGATAGATGTGTTTTAATTTAGACATCTAACATCAGGTCAGGAAACAGTGCCAGATTATAACGGGTTATGACAATGCACTGATTCTCAACCAGGGGAGATTTTTTTGGCCCAGGAGTATTTTTGATTGTCACAGCTGAGGGGTGCACCAGGTATCTGACCGGTGGAGGCCAGGGATATAGTAAACATCCTATAATGCAAAGGACAGCCCCCACAACAAAGAGTTACATGGCCCCAAATTTGCAAGGGGGCGCAGTTGAGAAACTCTGTGATGGTGTTGCCAGAACTGAAAAGGTAAGTTCTAACTCTCATATTCTATTTGCAAAAGTAAAATGGATATTTGAAACAACTAAACAGTTATCTGAGAAAAGAACAAAGCCATTAGATATTATAAAACATTTTGTTTGGGGTTGGGTCGTACAAATTGGCTGTCTGCTTAATTGAGATATTAAGCATAAAATTCATCAAATCATTTTACTAGTGTCATAGTCTTAAAGAAAGCATCATTATGTCCTAGTCCTCAGCCAGCAGATGGTGCTCAAAGCTAAAGTAAGCTCAAAGCTAAAGTACTCCATTTTTACAAAAATTGAACAGCAGGAATTTTTAAACTTCTACTGTGTCTGTATTTATATACAATCATAACATACATACAAATCCACAACCAATAAACAATTTTTGACCACTTTTAAACTGCTGCCAAAAATACTACACAAATGAATTCTGAGGATAAGCAAAAAGTTTGGTGTTAAAGTATTAAATCTTAACTATCAATAGCAGTATGCAGAAAATAAATTGCCTGTAAATTAAAGTAGTGATTACTTTTCTTAATTACACCTTCAAGTGACTTGGATGCTGGGATATTAAGTAGGGATGAACTTGGAGGCCATCATATACACAATTCTCATCACTGCTATTTACAGTAATATATTCCATTATATTTGGATAACCAAATAACAAAGATAACTAAAAGCTGAAAAACAAAACAAAACTTATCATTACTAAAGCTCCTGGCATGTCAGGTCTTTGACAACATTTCGTTTAACTATTATGTTTACATGCATGCCAACTAAAACCTATGTATACTGACTAGGATAAAGGCCCATAAAATTTGCAGTCATCAGCATTATATCCACAGAAAAAAGTAGCTATTAAAGAGAAAGGAAATTCTATTAAGGAAATAGAAAATGAAAATCAGAATAAAACCTTTTAAGTAATCAAAGAGTGAACTCTTAAGGGAAAAACATTCAAATAATAAACAATCCTGGGAAAGCTAAAAAGAAAATTAGGCGTGAAAAACGGGATATGAGTACTGATTAGAAGAATGTTCTATAAGACTAAATTTAGAAATCTCAACTACACGGCTACCTTTCTAGAGAAATGCACATTTAAGAAAAACAATCTTAAGAAAAGAAAGAACACTCAATTTCTAGCTCAGTTTCATTGGGAGTTTTCTTAAACTGTAAAGAAACAATTTGTGTGAGGGGCACACCCTAGACAAAAAGTGGTACATAGTAAAGAAAGTGGAAGAGAAAGGAAATTTAAAAGCTTTTCTCAAATTTTCAAAAGCATTTTCTAAAACTAACACCATCTAAATAACAAAAGCTGATTAAGATGGTCCACTCCTGCCCTCAACAGAGAGATGCAATATACATATATACACAATTAAGTAGTTTATATTGGAAATGCAGGGATAGTTCATTCTTAGGAAATCCGTTACTATAATTCACCATAGAAAAAGCATTCAATAAAATACAGCATTCATTTCTTAATTTTTAGAAAAACCCAGTGAAAGAATGTTATTTTTCTATCAGTATAATTCGAAATTACCATCAAGTTTAAAGTGAAACACGATAGTGATTTCCATTGAAATTAGGAATCAGGGTACCTCCTTATCACCACCATAAATTTTTTCCACTATATTTGACAAATAGTTAATAACAGAGTTTTTACAATCGCTAAGATAAGTATCCAAATAAAAAGGTCGATTAAGAATCTATCAAAAAGAAATGTAAAAAGCTAATGACAAACTTTAACTTCACTAATGATTAAAAAAAAGAACACATTGCACGGTGAAATATTTTCCAGCTATTAGACTGGCAACTGTAAAAAGTATAACACTTTTCACTGGAAAGTATGTAGAGAGATCACTCTAAACACTATCAGCAGGTAGGCATAATTTACCAAGAGGAACTAGGAAAGATGTATCATAATTCAAAATTGTTATAAAATGGGCATAACCTTTTCACCCAGTGATTCCACTTTTGAAAATTTATTTCAAGTTATTAATAGAATAAGCGTGTCAAAACTTTTGCACAAAGATACTTATAGTATTGTTTTAATATAGATAAACTATTCATTATAAGGGAATTGGGTAAAAGTAATGATACAGTCTTTTTTTTAATTTTGGGGGGGAAGTAATTAGGTTTTTAAAATTTGTTGATTTATTTATATGGAGGTATTAGGGATTGAAACTAGGAACTTGTACATGCTAAGAACGTGCTCTACCACTTAGCTATACCCTCCCCCTGTAATGGTACAGTCTTATATCCTAACATTATGCATTCAAATTATTTTAAATTTCTCTTTGGAATAAGCCCACTATATTAACTGAAGGATACAGACTGTAAAACAGTATTATATGACACTACGATTTTTAGAAAATAAAATACACCTCTCTATATGCAATACATGCATGAAAATAGTCTGGAAGGGCATACGTACATGAAAACTTTAACAGTGGTTAAACGCTGGAATTAAGATGGACCTCCATTTTCTTACAATGATTACTTATCAACGAGTTAATATACTACTTTTATATCAGAAAAAAATCAATAAAGCCACTAAATTTCCCTCTTTTTCCTCTAAAAATGGAGAGAAAAATTATAAACAATTATAGTAACTAGTAGTGATTAGTAACTATCGACATGAGTAACTACATGACACAAATAATCATTACAAATAGCTTCACATTACAATAAGCATAATTATAAATTTTACTTTAAAATCTGTACATACTAACACAAATTGTGTACAACTTTCCTCTCTTTACCTCTAAAAACGGAGAATAGTAATTATAATACAAATAACTACACTTAGCACATAATACACTTGTGACTTGATGGTCAGAAGTGATCACAGAATTAGCTGCATCTCGAGATGGTAAATCTGCGCATTTCACAAAACTCTCAGAAATGTCACCCAAAGGAGTATTAGCTATTCTAAGAGGCATTTTGTTGAAATTTCCGTTTCTCTAGAGGGGAAATGTGTTCCCCGAGTAAAAAATTCCCCGACTTCCCAAACCTGCAGCCCCTCGGAGGCGGAGGTGGCGCCACCCTCACGGGAACGATGGAGTCTGGCACGGTTCTGCTGAGGTCGACGCGCGGCCGCTCCAGGGGCTCGTCCCTCCTCCCGCGTGGGCACACCCCTAACCCCCCACGAGCCCCACCCCTGCCCCGGACCCGGGACCCGGTGGG